GTCGTGTAGTCGACATACGTAGAATTTTACAAATGATTGCGTTGATTGTCTTCTCTTTGTCAGCGATAAAAAAATTCGGAATTCAGAACGGGAAATTTTAGGGCTAAATGCAATGGCACGTACACGTGATAATTTTACAGAATAATAAATTTGCGTTCCAGCAAAACTGTAGCCGACCTGAAAGTTCGATTCCCGAGTTTGCAAGAAGGTATGAAAGGTCTGCTGAGCTCCGAAATGGAAAAAGTGGTGCGCGAAGAGAAGTTTCTGAAGGAAGAGCCCGAACGACTGGAGTCCGCGTTGAGACGTTGCAAGAAACTCACCGGCACCCTCGTGACGCTTAAACGGTATGACTTTTTACTTTATTAAAATAGTAGTAGAAATTTCAGTTCAATAAAATTGTCATGTTTTTCGAAAGTTTGCGAGCGCAATCAAAAATTAACATCGAAAATTTTTGCGTTTCATTTACGATATTAAAAGCTCATCAAGTCAAAAAATAAAACAAATTTATAGCTTATATTAAATGCAGATTTTTCTAAATTTTTTGAATTAATTTAACAAAATTTGAAGCATGTAACTGGATCTCTAATTAAATTTTTTAAAGATATCTCGATTCTTTTACCAGCAAGATTTCAATATATACTCTTCTTACAAACAGTAATTACAGTAGTAAATTCACTTACGGTAATAAAATCTTATCAGATGAAGAAAAAGCAAATATATAACTTATTAAACGCAGGTTCTAAACGGAATTAATTCAAACTTGATTAACTACTTTAGATGTTCAAGCAAATTTTTTAAACAATATTAAATGAAAATAGATTGATGAAATTAAACACATATGAGTGAAAAATGTCATATTCGATCAAAGCAGTTCTTCGTGCCTAATAATATTTCTTATGAATTTATACAATTTCAAGCTAACTATGTGCCGATTATTTATCAGTATATTATTTGGCAAGAAGAATCACTTTAATCGAAATTTTTTAGAGATAGCTCGGTTCTTTAGTCTATCGCAAAATTTTAACAAGCGTTTTTCTTTCTAATAATTGATACAGAGATAAATTAGGACCTATATAACATCAAAGATTTTTTTCTGTTCTGACGAAACTCGGTTTCTGTCCCCCGCTTAGCTTGGCGTCGGTGCAAGAGCAGCGATTACCAAACGCAGCGAGCGTAGACGCCGAGGACACGCCGCCTATAACACCGACGACAGCACAGCATTCCAAGGTAACCGCTCCATTGGCCCCGCTCGCTCGCTCGCTCGCTCGCTCTCTTTCTTTCTTCTCTACCTCTCTCTCTCTCTTTCTATCTCTATCTCTATCTATTTCTACCTTCTATCGAGACCCAATCCTCCTACCGATCTCCCGCACCGATTTTTTCTTCGCCGTCGCGATCCCTATAAAATGCACCTGTCCTCGGTACCGGAAAATACCGCGCCACCCATGAATTGCATGAAGTATTCCCTCGAGTTCTCCTCGATCAATCCTTGTGTCACGCTTGAATATCCATCGTTCTTCCGTTCTCCCGGCTTCTTCTCCCTCGAGGAAGAAGAAAAAGAAGAATCGGAAAGACATCGCGAGAAGATGGGGGTACGTCGCGGTAATCCGCGAATTCTCAATTCGCTAATTCTCAATTAGAGTCTCGGGGGCGATCTCGGACGAGAGAAACCCCCTGGTTGCTGAGAGTCCTTTTCCGTAGGGAGTGCGCGTAATCGAGATGCAATTGGTCGTGGACGCGGATTTTCATTAGAGATGTACGGTCCCGGCCACGAGAAACGCTCGAGAGGGTCGTATATCTTTCCGCCGCGACTGAATGCGGTAAACGAGAAATCCTACAATACAAATTTCCTACGTGCATTACAATCCTTCCTTCTCGTTGCGTGCACATTTTGTCGTGTGGCACACTTTGTCGCGAGTGGCACGGCACACGCACACTCTGATACGTGTGATGATCGAAATATTGGCTTTCGTTAGGAGATGGGCACGTCGCCGAACCTTAATCGCCCGATTATGGGTGCCATGTTTCTAGAAGGGATGCATTGTATTTTCCACAATATCAAGTTAGCGATTAATATTAAGTACAATTTTCAAATTATATATCTTGGAAAATGAAGAATAATTATTTAAATTTATCATATTTTTCGTGTATAGCTTGAGATTTTTTATTTTTTATTTTTAACAAAATTTTCATTTTCTTATAATCTTTAATTACTTCGAATTTTGTTGTAGTTTGAAAAATTATGACAAATAAGACAATTAAAATTTTTGCAAAGAAATTTGCAATAAACTCCAAATATACATGTATATGTTATATCTATTTGTTTTGATTAATATCATTGATCATACAAATGATTTTTCTTTATAATAACAACATAATTAAAACAAACTAGATTTTAAATTACTTATTTATATAATTATACATTTATTCTATTAGATAGTTAATTTTATTATTTCGAAGTATCTCTAATTGTGAATGAAAAGTGAAATATGAAAATTTAAAACTTAGACAAAAAAATCAATGAAAATTATTTTTTAATACAATAATTATTATATATCCTAATTATTATTAATGATAAGAGATTATTAAAAGTTTTGTAAGTTAGATGCCAGATATTTTTCATTATAATATATTACATATAATATTGATCGCGAAAGTTTTTGCTTAATTAATCCATATTAGTATTTACATGGAACACTAACTTTTAATGTATTATACGTACATTTTGTTATAGATAATAAAATTAATTAAAAAATTTAATTTAATTTAATTTTAAAAACTATAGGAAAATAAAACATTTCTTCTGGAACCTTCACATTTTTGTAAATGTATATTGCTGTATATTTTTTAAAAAGTTGTTGAACTCTTTGTAAAGTATGAGACCATTCCTCATAATAATTATTAAAAAAGAGAGAGATTTTTAATAAGCTAATTGTAATAATCCAATTTCTTGATTACCAATTTCTGCTTATATATTACTTCTTATATAAAGCATAATGTAAAAAACGCGTAAGCATAAACTTTGCATAAAACTGCAAAGAGACTACGAAACACGATTGTGCCCATCGCAGCTTCTTGTTCACCTCTGCAAACTCGTTCACCGAACACTATCTCACACGGCGGCAATATTACATCTGCTACCTGTCAACAAAGTAGAGCGTCGATGAGACCACTCTCCACGCTTCGTAGATCTTTCTTGTCCCACATAAGTAAGCCGGTATGATATTTTGCAAAGAGACGTGTATTACTATCCGACCACCGCTTACCCCGTATCCTCATTATGCTAACAAGCGCATGCAACGAGTGATATAGAGTTTTGTTCTGGTACATAATATATAAATATGTCTATAATATCATCAACATTATACATAAAATACTTGCCACTCTTTTTTTGCATATACATACGTCATATGCGTCATACGTCATATTGTATATACATACAAATAATGTTTATTTTAACGCGCACAACCTTTGTGACGTGCGTCAATCAAATGGCATTAATACACATGCATAAATCACTGTGATGCGCGAGATCATCAAAAGTAGGTATCATTACAACATACGTCTGACTGTGCCTGATTATTAACTGAATTTTGGACATGCGTCATCGCATGTGCAATAATACGAAATATGTCCTAGCGTACTATTTCCATCGAAATTCCGGATAATCACGATGAAATTTGAATACCCTGTAACATCTGTTATTATTATTATTAAAATTATTATCACATAATAATAAAATATAAGTGATTAAATTTAATTTTATTCGAGATATTTTTGTCAATCCTTAATATAGTCGAACTTTAATTTGCTTAATTGAACCGATCATCAATATTGAAAAAATATATTTTTTTAATAAATAATTATTAGTAAAATTGTAACCTGGTTAGAATTAAATTCATAGGAATAAAACTATATTATTTTAAAACTTCATCTGTAACTTCAAAGCTGTAAGTAGAACAATGATGGCATAGTCAGACAGACAAGACAGCTATCGAATCGGCGGAAATACATTTACGACGAGAAATTGGCACACGTGAGTTACGCGGAATTAAAATAATAAGAAATTTGTTAGAATAATTGTTAATACATCTCAAAGTTTTGCAACATGTTTGTAACATACAGCGTTAGTACTAAAAATTCTAAGTTCTAATTTTGATTGTAAATAATTTCACTGAAAAAGTACGTGCTACATGTAACATAAAATTTACCTGTTTGGAATTCGAAAATTGTACAATCTATCTACATACATAGCATAGCAAATAAAATAACACGCAGTTGCAAAATTTTGTTGAATTCTATCGTTAACATGTTTTTCGATGTTGATAAATGTAAAAGTTGAATCTTTTTCTAATCGAAGGCAACTTGAAAATTGCGATATGAATTCAAAATTACACACTCTTCTCTATATGATTTGGAAAAATTTGAAAGACTATTATCGCGAAAGTCTTCCGCTGTCATCAATTGTTTAATTAGGAACAGACCTTCACCTCCATTTGCTTTTCTCGGCTCGCTTATCCCGCATTACCATCGATCATTGACAGTACGAAATCTGATGTAAACCTTCTCATCAAAAATCAAACATTTGCCTTTGCCCTCCGTCGTACAACGTGCCGGGCAGCACCAGAGTAAATCACGAAAAATAATTTTGTGACTGTTAATAGTTGTCATAATATTTAAAAGAGAAATAATGGTGCTATATATACTGAGAGATGTTTGATACTTGATTATAATTACATTCCAGTCGACATAAACTAAAAGTAACATAACATCAATGTTATAATTTCGCGCTTAATATAACTGGGATGGTAAAATAATTAGGAGTTCTATTTTTATAATTATTGCTGCTATAATGTAATAATAATTGTATTTATAATTCTATATAAAAAATATATAGTTGGCACCGAATATGATTATAATTTACATGTAGCATATTTTTTTGTATATAGAACTATAAATATATATATATATTACAGTAGTAATAACTATAAAAATGAAGCTCTTAGCTATAAATAATTATTTTATTATGCAATTATAGTCACAAATACCAAGTACTTATCTCTCAATATATTTTTAGTGCTACATAAGTGGTACCAGCACGTCATATTCACTTTGATAAAAAATATCAATACTAAAAGATATTATCTGTCCCATACAAGTATCAGCTATCAGACAGCTCTATCGTCGTGTACAAACGAATTGATCTTGGGACTTTTAATCTAGACAATAAGGCACTTAATTTCCTGAAAACGCGTTTCCTCCAATTTCAAGTTAAAATCACTTTTTCTGCTACATTGAAATTAATTTTTCGTTTCGATCTGCCTTTAATCGCATTTCGCTGTCGCGATTAAACCGCGAAGTCAGTCGTAACACGGACTGTCAATTTTCAACTTTCATACAAGGATCGCCACTACACATTGCGATGTTGGGAATCCATTAGCGAACGTCCCGCAGCGGCCGACGTCGCTCATCTCTACCCGGGAAATGCCAACATCTTCATTTCCCTTCGGTCACGTGTGAAATACTATCAAACCTCTCTTGCCATCTTCTTCGCTAAGCACGGTCCTCCGGGGAATAAACAAAAATGCTAACTATACACGAATACGATGATGGCTCTCTCTCTCTCTCTCTCTGTCTCTCTTTCTCTCTCTGTCTCTCTATCTCTATTTCTCTTTCTCTCTCTCTCTCATTTTTTCCCTCTCTTTTCTCTACCTTTTTCTCTTTTTTTTCGCGCGTCTTTACCTGTCTCTTCCTTCTCCGAAGATTCGTCTTTTCGAGCCGAATTCAGTATCACACGAGAAAACATTCGACGAAATAAAATGTGCAATTCTCCTACAACTTGTCTCTCTCTCTCTCTCTCTTTCTCTCTCTCTCTCTCATTCTTTCTTTTTTACTCTTTCATGTCTTTATCTTTCTCTCTCTGTCTGTCTCTGTGATATGGACCCCTCCGTCCTTATCCAACAAACCAATATTTTCAGTGTTTGCTGTGTCCCGATAGTATAGATATCTTTTATACATTTAGAGCATGGTGTGACAAAACATTCGTAGCCATCGATGCTTATCGTTCATAAGTATCGGAAGAATCGAATCGCTCGGATCGGCTGTCTCGAGCTTCTCTTCCTCTCCCTCTCTTTCTCTCTCATTCTGTCTACCTTTTTCTCTCTTTCTCATTCTCTCTCTCTCTCTCTCTCTCTCTCTCTCTCTCTCTCTCTCTCTCTCTCTCTTTCTCTCTCTCTCTCTCTCTCTCTCTCTCTCTCTCTCTCTCTCTCTCTCTCTCTCTCTCTCTCTCTCTCTTTCTCATCGTCATTCACTCGTTTTGAGAGCGATTCGAAGATTGCTTGAAGAGTGGCAATGCAACGTTCGCCTAAACGTCGCGTTGCTTTAACTATCTTCTTATAGCAAATATTGCCTTACTATCCCATGAAAGCGACCTCGCAGCTTCGTATCTTGCGCTCTGCGTCTCAATGCGGACGATACTGTATAGCTGATTTACGATGTAGAAATAATTGTAGAAGCAGAAATGAGAAAATGCCAGAGCTTTCATTCGCGCAAAGCGTAAGATGAAGCGCCGCAAGATCGCCCCGATGGCATAGAGCGCAAGATCGCTTTCACGATCCTCTTCTTCGACGACGCCGATCACGATGTTTTGTCAGATCATTCATGAGTGTTAGTTGTGGTATAACGACGGAAAATCTGCGTCGCGACGAGTCTCTTCTTTTCCTCTCTTTTTTTTATCTTTTTTTTTATCGACGGATATCGCAATTATAATTCGTCCAAGACGGCTATTCGCCGTTGCTGATAACAGAGCAGATACATCTTTGATAACGAGCGAAGCGGGAGAGAGGCTCCCGCTTGCCGAAGCTCTCTCTTTCTCTCCGCATTTATTTATTTTTTTTTTTTTTTGCAAAAGAATCGCGAGCGACGCGGGTTATCGCAAGCTATATCGTACATAAAAAAGTTCTGTGTACTAAAGAGATTAGAAAAGAAAAAATAAAAATTAAAGAAAAAAGAGACAAATAAGCAGATGTTACAATCTAACAGATAGTGAAAATAATATTAATTTTTTAGTATGGCTGGAAGTGGAGTACTAACTTCAAGGAGGCCATACAGACCAGTCACGAGTAAATTTTTACTTATTCATACTTATAAATTATTATAATTATTATTACTATTATAAAAGATTTACCGTTTATTATTCTATTATTATTATTATCATTATCATTATTATTATTATAATTATTATTCTGTACTGTTTTTATATATATTATATATACACGCATATACATATATATCAAACACACGGAATATATTTATATTCTTTTTTTATTCGGTATGTCTGCAGCACAATTATCATACTGTTGATAACTGTTATCCTTTCACGGCACTCCGGAGCATTCCGCCAGATCCTGCTATCTATTTTGTCATTCTGAATGTAAAGCAAAAGTAAAAGATTTTCTTTTTCTCGTAAATCCCATTCGTGCACTATTCCAATAAGATCATTGTATAAATTTCCCATAATTTGTATAAAATAATTTGCAAAGTCCACGCACACAGATTTGTGGAGCAAATACCGTCATTATTGCGAAATATTGGTCTCGACGAGAGATAAAAAAAACTGGAAAAAAAAACTAACAGTTTATTCTCACGTATATAGGTAATAAAATAATAAATTGTATATAGATATATATGTTGTGTGTATATGTGTGTGTGCAGAATTTTTAATTTTTCTGTTTGAAGTTATGACAAAGTCCAATATTTATAGCAGTTTAGCGGAATTCTTCGGAGTTAATCCAGCGAGTCTAACTTTCCTATCTCTCACATATGTGCTACAGTCATCTGATATTCTACCTTTCAATTATAGTTTTGACACCACATGCTTGCTCTGAGACGAATCTTTTTGTCCGATTTTTTTATTCTCTCAATTTTTGTACGTTCGCGTTCTCTATCACTTTGTGCTATATAAAGAAAAGTGTCAAAAGCGACAGATGCTTTTCCTTTTGTCAAGATACTTCATTGAGAATATTCGGAAAACGCACAGGCGACTGATTGATTGGCATCGTGTTTGTACTGGTTGTTTAAAGATCGAGAAATATGTTTTTTGTAAATGCAATTAAAAAATAATCTAAAATGTGCAATAGGTATAAGCAGCTTTGAACGATCAGAAGAAAATCGCTCATACGATCGTAACGTGCATTCTTTTCTACAGGATCTTTGAAAATTATGTTGTGTATTTCTTAATCATTGTGATTTATTAATAATTTTATACAGATCGAAAATAACAATAAGAGAAATTATTTCTACTCTATGTCTATTTTATAACTTTAGCTTTATTTAAAGCTTAATAAGATATTGAATAAAGTTACATCACAATTGCGTAGCAGATTTTAAATATGCACTTTCTGTTTAATATTTATTTTATTATTGCAATATATATATAATAATGATAATAATGCCACGCAGCTTAATTAAACTTTTTATAGTATGTGAAACGTGCATCTCAACGTTTTATTATAATTCCGTAAATTTTACTTATTTAAATTATTTAAATTTTAATTTTTGTTAAATGTTAATCTCTCTTCGACATTACATTAGCACGTACCTACAAATCATCAGACTTTTATGCTCTGCAAATAACTTATATCTTTTAACATTATCTTCTGAATACATAGAAACAGGCGAACACTTTAGGAATGTCTCACTCCTTGGATCTCTCTATTATTAAATCTGCTTGTATCTACTGCACGTTTTTCATGGAGCACATTGAAAGGAGAATCGCGACGTCCGAAGCGCAAGGAACGCCGCGCGATTTCTCGCTCTATTCTAAAGTTATTTTGCACTCTACTTGATTTCCTACAGCTTTACACTTCTTTTCTGCTTGAGACCGTTCAAATATTCTGCTAGTGCCTGCGTCCGATACAAATATGACAAGGGAAGAAAAGCCTTTGTCCTACGGCTTTCGCGATACCATTTGATTCAATACGAAATTCTATTCGCGAGAAAACATTTATGTGGCACATCAATTGTCCAAAATTATCCAGTTATAAACACACAAACACACACACATAGTTACACCACTCAGATACATGTGTATTGGTTAGTGTCATTTATATACAATTAGCCAGTTCGAAAGACGAGCAAACTTTCATTAAGACTCTGCTGTGCTACGTGCTATACGTCTTTGATTTTAGCGCTCTCACTTCGCCTTTTTCGCAAGATATACCTATTTGTATAATATATATTTACAACAACGTTTCCTTCTTGGTTTCCATCCGCGCATCCAAATATTGTACTTTCGGGCTATAGTCCTCATCGAGACGCCCATATGCCGATTCGACGCGAAAGACGAAGAAAGGAGAGCGCTTTCGCTCATCGAGCATCGACAAATGTCGAGGATTGTCTGGCATCGTCGTCGATATAAGATCAATTTTTCTGATCCGGATAGCTAATTCATTTTAAGAAGCAACTTCGTAAACGACATTTCAATCTTGAAATGCCAGTTCAAACGAGATTATCCTCCTTCTTTGTTGTGAAATGTATCGCGAAATAAGAAATAATGTATATTATTATCCATAAATTTTATAGTAAAACCGAGTTAAAACTTATTATATTTGCTTTACATGAAAAGAACGGTCTTGTTGAAGTATTTAAAAATTTAGTTAGATTCAGTTCTGAAAGTAACTTTTCTTGGATCATTAAAATAATTATGTAAGATGCTTAAACTGGTTGCTAGAAATTTAAAAGACTTTTCACAGCATTTTCAATGTTAAGTGTTCTACATAATTATTTTGATGCTCTAAGAAAATTATTTTTAGATCTGTATCTAATTACATTTTTAGATACTTCAGCAAAATCGCTTTTTTCATATATAAAACAGAGAATGTGATCATCCTTTATATCTTTATAAGATAAGGTTGAATTAAAAATATTCAGATACAAGTTCTACGACCTAACGATGCACAAATAAAAAAATCAATTTTCGAATTGATTTTTTATGATCGTATTATCTTTTTTTTTTTAATGGAACTGTATCACTTTTTTACATAAAAGGATTCTTCTAATTGTTCTGTATATATAAAAGTATTTTTTTTTCGAAAAATTAATGATTTACGAGACAATTTATGCTTTATTCTGACATATTTTGACATGAAATACACATATAAAATATCTCGTAAACTATTAAATTTTTTATAATCACACTTTAATACTTTTATGCAGAATAATGAAATTTTGATATTTATTTGTGCTTCATCAGATAACTTTTGTTTGAACATATTTTTATTTCAACCTTATCCTACAAAAATATAAAGGATAATCACGTTAGATGAAATCCAACACCCCGTATACTCGAGGCAAGTTCGCATTTTGATGCATCCAATGGAAACGGCTACATTTATTCCATAAAAATGCAAATGCAAGGATTTCAAGATATATCACGCAGGAATATATCCGTTTTACATTCTCGAAACGTCCAGGAGTCGTGCCTGTTGAAATTTTGCGGCGTTTCTGGATCCCGATCGGGTCATCGACGATGCGAGACAGTTTTATGACACACACGACACGACGTAGAAACGCGACAGTAGTAGCGGCCCGAGTTTAGTCAGACACACATACACACTTGCTCCAATCCACTTCTTATAGTAAGGTCTCGCCCGCACCTTTCGTCCACCACTACGATCAGCTCCCTCGTCCTCTTAACCGTCGTCTGTACCATCTTCGTACGTTTTTTCAAGGTTTACATTGGATTTCCCGTTGCGTGACGTACCACGACGATGGCACGCATCACCCGCGTGCGCAAGTGCATCTCACAGAGATTCTCCCTTGTATTGCTGTGCTAGTCTTTTTTCCACCGACTCCCTCTCTTTTTCTCTCTCTCTCTCTCTCTCTCTTTCTCTCTTTTTCTCTTTCTCTCTGTCTTTTTTCTCTCTGTCTCACCTCGTCACATCCACCAGTCTTTTACGGGACGACAAGAGGTCACTTGACGCATGATGACGCGTCTGGCCTGCACGTTCCGTCCAAACGTCGCGATTCCTCCGCGGCTGAAGTAAATCGAATCGGATTGTTTGCTGCTTTCAGCAGCGTGTACATATGTATATACAAATATATATTTTATATGATCCGATGATATTAATTGTCGCGATAGGTTCGTACCGGTGCGCCGCCTCGTCACAGCTCGCGCATAGGAAATTCGAGAGGGTGGTTCTACCTTCTTACTGCGACTATGAAAAATTATGCGTCTGCATATTATTATGCCTCTGTATGTACGTGCGCGCGAGCATACATGCCAAATGGAATAAAGTCAACAATTATGCGACATAATCATGTGGCGATTTCAAGGATATGGACCGAAATAGAATGATTTTGATCCCTTTTCTATTTTTACGAAACTATAGAATATCGACATCTCTTCCAAGTGGATTTCTGTTAAGCGATTACCGTGTATAATAAATTAAATTCGATAATTTATTTAATAGGTTACTGATTTATTAAATAAATTGAATTGATTTCAGTCGCGGATTAAGAATAGCTTTACATACACGAGAGTACAAATTATTTTAAAGTAGGTGAAATAAATAAGTTAAATAATGTAGATTTTATTTGATTTGTTTCAATATGTTTTATGTGATCACAAGATATTGCAAAGGGAGAATATTGTTAAATTTATTCCACTTGCTAACGTATACATATTATGTGTCCATTATTATAGTTCTTCTATAATCGACGATTACTGGTGGAATGATTTACATCTAAATACGTACAACATTTGAGGATAGTCCCTCTACAAAATATGGGATACATTTAAATTATTATTAATTTTCTAGATTAATAATTATTAGAGCCCCTTTAACATTAAAAACAAATATTCGCATAAACTACTAGATAACTAAACTTGTTTATATTGTACAATTCTAATTCTTCGGTTTTTTATTGTTTTCCACTGCATTATTATTATGAAGCTTATTAGACTTATTTGGTTAGTACTCACATGCATTTATATTCACAATCCACAAGCATTTCGTCGTGTTCACGCGCACGTGTGCAAAGGAAGTGAGCGGGAACAAATTGAGATTCGTTAAATTCTCTCGGTATCTCTGTTCCTATGTATTAATTCCAAATACTAATT